GTCCCTGTCCTGGAGTCGGGGTAGGGGTGCCCCCTGCCCTGCCCCGCGGGACGAAGGCGGGGGCCCTTGTTCTCGGGGGGCGAAGCCGGGGGTTCCCGATCCTGGGGAGTGGAGGCTGGGGTCGGGGTCCACGCGCTTCGGGGCACCGGGCGCCGCGGTGGCTGCGGGTACTGAGCACCTCGGCGCGTCAGTTACTGAGCAGAGCGAGCCGAGCGCATCTTTTTAAATCCTGCCCCCTCCCAAACCCGCGACGGCGTTCCTGCCCCTTAAAATCAATGCGGCCGCCCCCAGGACCTCGCCGCGCCTCCTGCCCCGCGCCGGGCTGGCCGCCCCGCCCGCCGTCGGTGACTGAGCCTCTCCCTCCCGGCCGTGCGCATCCCACCGGGCCCGCTATTGGGCCCTGGAAAAAACCTGGTGGGTGGTGACCGCATTTTATAAAAATAAAACAGAATAAGATAGAAAACATCAGAGAGCCTCCCGCACTAAGTATTGCTTTCACTCATACTAGTATTTAAGTGGGTCCTTGCTCAAGATGTGAAATGCATTTCTTTCTCTTGAGTACTAAAAAAAAAGGGAGAGCTGCTGCAGAGAGCTTACCTGCCAAGCAAGGCAGGTGTTCTGACTCCCCTTTTTCAGGTCAGTCGATGGGGCAGGCTCCTGCCCTTTGTGAACCCCCTGGTCCCACCTGTACCTGGCAACATCTAGTAAGACAACAGTAATGAGTTTGAAAAAAGAGAGAACTAGAAGAAAAAATAGAGAAGTCTTCAAGATCTATCTGCCAGAATGCCTGCATGTTCCACAGTTGCTTCTGGCTCCTGGATAATCACACTGGTGAGAGTGGGGGCAGCCCAGCCCCAGTAAGAGAGGTCAGTGAGGTGGGACTCTTACTGAGCACAGCACAATCTTCCCCAAGGGTGCACCTGTCTGGAGTAGGTGTTGTCCCAGTTCTCCCGAGCACCTCACATCCTCCTTCCCCCCACTTTCAGTTCCAGAACATGACTTGCCGAAGGTCACGGATTCATGCCTCACCTGCAGTGTCTGAGCCTCAGCCTGTGTTGGGGGGTGGGGCCATATTCTTCCCTAACAGGAGCTGCTTCTGTCTTGGAAAAGGGAGTTGGATCCAGAGCCCTAGGACCAGGGTGGGATGCAGTTCCTGGAGACCTCCAAGAGCTCACAAAGCTCCTGGGTGTCAGTGCAACTGGATGGCTCCCTGAGGTAATTAGCCACAGTGCAAATACTTAGGCAGGGCAGGGCAGAGGCTAAAAATATGCATGGTACACACATCCAGGAATGCTGGTCTTGCCATTCATTCTGTAGTATCCTGCCTAGAGTGGAAGGCAGGGCACTTTCAAAAGGTCTGAGAAGGGAAGCAGTTGTGCCTGGACCTAAACTTGACCCAGGAGCCAACTGATGTGGCTTGTGTTCAGGGGCACACCTGCCCAGCACCTCCACCTTAAACAACTCTTCTTGGTGCCCACCCAGGCCTGAGCAGAGTGGTGTAGAGAGACCAGCTGAGAATCTAGAAAACCCTGTCAGGTCAGGCTCCCTGCCTCAGCTTCTCCATTTACCAAATGGAGATCATAGCTCTCCTGCATGTCTCACTGGTGGATGTGAGGATCCTGGAAGACAGTGCCCGTGAAAGGCTTTGAGGGGCCCAGGGGTCCCACACATCAGAGCCCTGGTATGCAGACGACCACAGAGGTAGCTGGCAAGGTTTCCACTGCAACCTCGAGCCACTTATTAAGCGCCTACTGTGTGTATGGAGGATGTGAAGCAGTCCCCTAATAAAAGCAGGTGTGACTGCATGGACACAGGACTCTGCCCTGGATGCCATCACCAGTCACATGGCCAGCGTCCTTCAGCAGGTGAGGGGCACATCACAGAAAACCATTCTGTGACTCTAACATACAACTTCAGAAAGAATGACCACACGACTATTGCTTTCCCAGGTATCATTGCTTAGTGGGCACAAAACAAAACAGGTGAGCTGATTTAAAGACATGTTAATAATATGTGGGCCAGCCCTGGCCAGTGTGGCTCATTTGGTTGGGCATCCTGTGCACCAAAAGGTTGCTGGTTTGATTCCTGGTCAGGGCACATGCCCTGGTTTCCAGCTCCATCCCCGGTAGGGGGCGTGCAGGAGGCAGCTGATGGATGTTCCTCTTTCACATCAATGTTTCTATTTCTCCTTCTGCCTTCCTCTCTCATAAAACCAATAAAGATGTTTTTTTAAAAGATAATAATAGGTGGTCCACAGATACAGCAGAAATCAAGGCAGTGGTCTGCAGTGTAGGACTGAGCCAGTGAAGGAGGCCTATCCCCTCCTCTCCGTAAGGACCTGGCACAGGGAGGGGCAGATGTTCACCTAGCTGGGAGCCTGAAGGAGCCAGAAGCCAAGGAGTGGGAGGGAGCTAAGGGATTACA